GCATTGATCAAGACAGATTGTCAAAAATTAGAACATGGATTTATGGGACAATTCAGAAGATTCTGAGGATATGCAAACTCCAAAGCAATGCTTAATGTTCTCTGCTAGCCAAAGAGGTCCCTTTCCCTATATTTGAAAAGGCTCTTTATCTTTTACTGATGCTCCTATAATTCCTTCAGGACCTAACTTTCAGAGTTTCTAGAACCATAGATTTAGATCCCATCGTACCCTAAGGCACCAATACAATGTCAGAATTGTGAACAGAATGAGCACATAAAAAAGGATAATGGGAATTTTCTACTTTATAAAAGAAAATAAAATCAAGGAAAATATATGCAAATAGATTCCAAATAAAATTGACCTGAGAAGGTATCCCACAATAATAGACCAATCTCAATTTACTGATAGTGGAAACTCATCCAGAGATGCTGCATTCAATTTGTTACTTCCAAAATTAGTTATAGTTATAGTTATAGTTCTGATTAGTTATAGTCATAGTTATAGTTATAGTTAGTTCTAGTTCTAGTTCTAGTTCTAGTTCTAGTTAGTTATAGTTATAGTTCTGGTTTTTTGTTCTTATTGTTGGTTGACTGAAATATAGACTCGATATTTGCCCATTCTGGTTGAGGTTTACATGTGAGAAGCTACTTGATATCCGTAAAGGACTGCAGGGCATTTACAGTGGTTTATCATAAGGCTTCCAAATAACTTCCTAACAATATCACAAGCAAAAGAAACTTTACTTCTAGCTTTCCACCAGGATAAATGTACTGGTTGTCTTACGTAGTATTATTAAACTGTGACTCTGAGTTAGTACTAATCCTGGACACATAGAATGTGATTGTATTTCATCAGTTAGAAAGGACTTTTAACCCAAATCTATCTCACAATTGCCTACTGGGCTCCTAAAACTTTCCTGAAGTTGTTTTTCTCATTCTTATGTGTTGGAATAGTTTTCTGCACATGTTGAACTAATTATCTTTCACAATTAGAAGAATGGGCTTAATAGATGTCCTTGAAGTTGCTCTTACTTAACCAATTAAAATCTTTTCTGAAAACGCAGTAAGAATAGTGCCTCTGTCAGTAACATGAAGCAATAGAGGTTTGGCATATGCTAGGTTGGATGGGTTTCAAAGGATGGTGATATATTATCATAAATTGAATCAGATCATCATTCTAAATGTCACTGCTGGTCCTGATGTCATTTTCTTAGTGGGTTGCCTATTGGTCTGGCAAATGTTTCATGTCTCTCTCAATAAGAACATCAGAAGCACTTTTCTTCCTCCTATTAGGGTCATTAGTACAGCTTTATAAACTTACCTTAAATCATATCTCATACCTGTGGTACAAAATTTATTCTTCAGAGATATTGATTATCTTACCAATTGGTTCACCATTCTGGTGATTTAAGGTTGACAAAAACTAAAGACAAGGATGATTCATTCACTAAGGCAATAAAAAATTTTCATAGGGAGGCCTACTACCTTTGAGATTCTGGATAGTGAGGTTCTGTAGGCCAGGGTTGGGGATTTTGATGGCAGGGGAATTTGACTTTCTTCTATGAATGGGGATGCTGGGATTGTGCAAAGCAGAAATACAAGGTTAATATAATTTCTGTAAAGGGCAGGAAGACTGATCTAGGAATTAAAGTAACTCTTATGATAACTAATCATGATGTCCCCAAGGGTGAAACAGAGAGGAAGCCTCTTAAGGTATTGCTTGATTTATATAGTCAGGAAAAACTAGATCTAGTGAATGTAAGACTCCAAACATTTCCAGTTCTAATCAATCAATAGACCAAGATCTATTGATTGAAGGGGAGTTTGGGTCCTTTTAAGAAATGGACCAACAAAAAAAATCACTAAATATATGTGTGTGTATATGTATATATATATATATATATATATACATATACACACACACTAAATATGTGTGTATATATGTATATATACACAAAATATGTGTGTATATATAGACACACACGTATATATGTATACACACAGAGAAAGAGAGAGAGAAAGTTCGTGAGATACGACTTAGATGTAGATATTTCCTGAAATGAATCTTTACTTCTCTGTCAATTAACTATATATTGGGAAAGGAGAATACCTAGATTTTTCTAGGTCTGTTAGAACCAGGGGACCCGATAAACCATACTAGTCCCATAATAGGAGTTTATGGAGACCAAGTAATAAATGGAGCTTTGGCGCAGATCAAACTGTATTCATCAGGGTCTCTGCTTTACACATGGTTATTTAATCAGTTCCCAAATGTATAGCTACAGGTAGAATTCTCAATTTTATTTTCTTACCAGTGGATTAGGGTCATTATATTAAGAAGGATCAAATGAAACCCCAATGACAGATAAGAACAAATAATCCCTGGATGAATTGTGGACATTAGTGCCAACATCAAACTCTTGAATGATGCAGGGGCAGTTGTCCTTATTATAGCCCCTTTCAAGCAGACAGTCTGGCTTCTGGGAAAAAAACAGATTGGTCTTGACAGTCTGTAAACATAACAAGGTGATAACCCCAAATACAGTTGTTGCCATATATGGTATACTTACTGGATAGAGCAACACAACCTATGGATCGTGGTGTAAATTTTTAAATTTAGTGACTGATTTCTCCTTGATACCATTAGCAAGAGGATCACAAGTGCTCAGTATTTACACAGCAAAAATAGCAGCATACCTTCTCCTATGTATCTTGAGGTTATAAAGACTGTCCTGCTTCCTGTTATAATGTAATCTGTATAAATCTGTGTCATCTTGACATTCCATAAGAGATCACACTGGGGTCTCCCTGTTGGCCTAGGGCTTAAATCTCAGCACTATCAGCAATGTGGCCTGAGTTGAAACCCCGGCCAGGGAGCTGCCCACATGGCACAGCAGACCGTTCCTGTATCACCCACTGCTCCTGTCAGTGTATTCAGTAGATCCAACTGTTCTGCTCCCCACTCTGTCTCTGGTGTATCCTCTCCCTGCTCCTCTGGCCTAACCCCAGTTCTTCTGTATATCAATCAATCAATCAATTCATCTTTAAAAAAAAAGAGAGATACCACTCTGGTTCACCGTATTTTGGACATCATACTACGTTAATCCAGTAGTAGTTAGTAGTGAGCAATAGGATATTCTAACAAGGCTTCGGTACACCAGAGTGAGGAAATAATCCCCATAAAGATGAAAGTGTCTGTGACATTGACCTAGTTGTAGATGTTCAGTGATTTAGAGGGTATCCCTCTAAGCAAGAAATACTTTGTGTACCTGGTTCCTTCTGTCACTAAGAAGGGCACAGTGTTTGGTGGGGTTCTGGATTTTGGAGGCAGCATATACCACATTTGTAACTAATGTTCTAATTCAGTTATTATGTGGCCCATAATTGCTAACTTTGAGCGGAGTGGGACCCAGAGCAGAAATTCAGAATTGCAGTCAGAATTGACAGGCCACTTGGCCATCTTGATCCAACTTATACAATAATGTTGACAATAGTGGGATGGATAAGGAGCCTGTGAGAAGCTTCTCGGAAGCTCCCAAAGGGAAATCTCTGCACAGACATTAGAGTTTTAGAAGAAAACTATGGCTTCAGAGCAGAGGTCTGCCCTCCTCTGAGGTATCTCTTTAGATTCTCTTAATATCATATCTTTGTTTTGCTGTTGCTGCCACCACAGTGGCCAACTTCATTAGTGTTCACGAGATCCTGTGACCTGAAACACTGCTTGAGCCCCTGGGTCCTCCCATAGGAAATCTACCTGGAGAGCACAACATCATGCAGTATTTCTTATAGTCCAATTTGGAAAATGATTTGTCAAGGTGATTTAGGACTTTATAAAAAGATTAGAATATTGATGTTAAGGGACTTATGGGAAGTCATGTGAATGGATTTCCCAGATAAGGCAAAGAATGTAAGGAATATTTGTGTCTCATGGGAAGTCCATACAACACCTTTACTGCAAAGTTCTTTATAATTAGGAATATGATACTTATGTCCTTCCTTGGTGCTTGCTTAATGAGGTCAGGAACAAAATATCTACAGAGGCAATAATGCAGTCTATGCATTGCTTAAGAACCTGGATATATAACCTCATCAAATTGTACCAGGCTTCTGCCACTTTTGTGTGCCTGGTTTGTCTACATTAGTGAGCAGCACTGAGTCTCACTACGGCCACACGCTTAGTGATAGGAGCCAATAACATGCAGAGTTGTTGATTTTACCAGACTCTTTTTATATTATAGTAGGGTATAATTTGTCTTTAATAAGTAGACACTTAATTTGGACTTAGACATTTTTTCCCTTGTCTATTATGGCGTCACCATTAATAGGGTCTGTGGGCTTTGTTCATATCTTACACATTATCATGGTTGCTCAATCAACATTTGCTCCTACGCAAGTAACTCTACAGTGAAAGAAACAAAGTAATAAACCTTGCTGTTCCCGCAGGGTATCCCTCATGCTCTCATCATGCACCCTGAGCAGCAAGTCATATGGAACCATGCATGGCCTATCAAAGAGTTCATTATGACACCATCTAGGAGACAGTTCTAATTGAACCTAATTATCCAGGATAAATAGGGGTTGTTGCTGGGGACAGATTGGGGTATAGACAAAACCTTGTATATGTTTCACACTAATTTATATACTGTACCTCCTCATAGGGTACATCGCCAAGGACTCAGGTATCTTAGGAATCAGGCTTAAGATCCACCCAAAGTAAATCACAATTATCTAATTCAATTTGTTTTCCAAAAGTGATAAAAGTCCTGGGTGTTATGATGACTAACAGCAGTGGCTTTGCCAAAGAAGGGGAATAACTTCAGATCTTCCGTAAGATGATGATACTTAGTATCCTCTCCATTTGAAATGTCATAGTGCAAAGGTGGGTGTATTTTAAATATGTGAAAGATAGTTACATATGCAAATTTTGATTTATAATTATGTACATCTGAATCTTATATGATATTATAATGTGTCAACAGATTTAAAAAAACACATAATGACATATTCACCTGGCAGAGGAGATACCAGATCACAAAGGTGGTTTTCGCAGGGTGAGGCTCATCTATCACACTCCAGATGTACTTATCCCAGTGATTTCCCCAGATGGAGGGAACTCAACTACATAATTTGTGGTGGTCAGGAACCATGCTCATGCTCTCCCCTGAAAAATAAACATTAAAAGAAATAAAAAAATAATTATAATTGTTAGTCAAATCAACTTTGCATGGATATATAATAAAAGGAAGAATGATGAATGCTAGGCAGGTAGTACAAATTCAGCATGGTGACCTTGGTTCCAAAGTTCCCTCTTCAGGTTTTTCCTCATTCTGAAATTAAAGGAGGCAGATATTACTGCACCCCACTTTCTTGGAGTTAGGGCATTGGATATGCCCTACACTAGGACAGTGATATGATCTAGTCTAGAACTTTAAACCTTAAATGAGTGATGTAAATACATGCACAGGAAAAAGACAGACTTTCCTGGTGCCAAAGGCAGGTCAGACTTTAGTGACAAGTGTCCAGCAGTGAGACACCAGCTCCCTCTCATCCAACTGCTGGGTGGTGCTGTGACCTTGACAGTGAGTGTTTTCACCTCTGGTTTTCCAAGCTTGATGTCCCAGTTTCCTAAGGAAGTTATCTAGCATGGGTTTCTGCTGCTTATAACCAAGAACACCAACAAAAAACTTGCCAGTTCCAAGTCTGTGTGGTTAAGACCACACAGGCATGAAGTCAGGAGAAAGTAGTGATAGTAGTCTTGTTGGGATGGGTCTGGACCTTCCCACAGATTGTAATGGATAAGTTAGATTAATGGAAGGTTATACCTTGAGTTTAGCACCTCAGTCCCTTTGTTCCAGAGCTCCAGAAACAAAATGGTTAGAGGCAGGGAGAAGTCAAATTAGCTATGGAGCTCTCATATATATTTTTTTCCTTAAATCCCAAGTAATTGTTTGTATCACAAGTTTATTTCTGTCTGTTTGTAGAAAATCTAAGCTTTCAGACATGATTTTTTAAAAGCTATTTGAAGGATTCAAAATGAAAAACTCACTCTCTTTTAACAATCACTGAGACTTAGGAAATTTAGTCTGTTTAGTATGTAATGTGGTACAGAAATGTTCGTTGCAGGGCTATGTAGGAGAGGAAGTATAAATTGAAACTCAGTGTCAGACAATAGAAGGAAGATGAGAAAAATATGATGGAATATTATGAATTCATTGAAAGTTTATTTACAAAGAGATTTTTGTGATAGGAAATACTTGAGATAATTTGGAGTCTTTGCTTGGGATATAATGTTGATTGAGAAAGACAAATTAAGTTCCCTGCATTAATTATTTCAAGTCCATAAATGCACAGACATGTGCGAGCACACTAAAAAAATTCTAGAAGGAAATACATAATTGTAATTGCTGGATTTTTTACTTTTAATATTTTTTGTAAGTTCCAAGAAATCTACAAAAAAACATGTATATTTGTATGATTTCTATAGTGAAACCAATGTTATATATGTCAGTAGGGGGATGCAATTGTGGATTCTGGACTAGGTGAAAATGATATAAACATAATGGACAGTATCTGTGTTATCCTAATGTAGATATTTGGATAATAACTGTAGCTTTTGTAACAGTATTGCATTAGTGTTGCTGATTTTGATTACTATACCTTGGTATGTAAGTAAATGTCCTTGTTCTCAGGAAATGCACACACTGTTGGATTTAGGAGTAAAAGGACTGGATGTCTACAACTTATTTGCAAATGAGAGGTGCAGGGTTAGGGGAGAGAGTAGCAAAAAACGGGAGTGGAGCTGGGATGAAAAAGTAACTGTTAATGTTGGTGAATCTAGGTGATCTATATGCAGGTATCCATTCATTACTGTTACAACTTTTCTCTAAGTTTGAAGTTATTCTTTCAAAAATATGTCCTATGATGATCATATGAGTCATTGGTTACTAGATTTATTAGGGGGGAGTATATTTCTGTTGTAAGATTAATCATCTTGTTGAAAAGATTATGGGCTTTGGGGTGAGCTACATCTGCAGAATCCCAGATCTGCTTTTTATTAACTTCATGACCTTCAGTTTATTTATTCTTCAGACTCATTTTCCTCATCAGGAAAATGGGGTTAATAATATTTCCATTGTGAAGATCAAAATGTTTATAAATTGCCTAATACACCCTTCTTATCACAGGTGCTCAAAAATTGCAAATTGCTTTTAGCAATAAATAATACATTCTCCAAACGTGGACCGGGTGGCAATCAGCCTCAGCTTGATTATTTATAAAGCTCAGGGTCTTTCATTCATCTCTGTTCTTTGAACAGACAGGACACTTAATATAGGTATACCTCAAGCACAAACCAGAGAGAAGAAAACTCTTAATATTTGTGCAGTGAAAAAAAAAATTACCACTCTGATCACCAGGTATTTATTTATACAGACCAGGTATTTTACCAAAGTTGTTTTCATTGCTGTTGTTTTTAAAAGTTTAATCTAAATTTTCAATGTACTCATTTAATCTTTACCACAATCTATGAAGTAGAAGAGTCTGTTAGTACAAAGAGATTAAGAAACGTGTCCCAGATTACAGCACTGGTGGTGCCAGGTATCAGACAGATCTGGGAATCTTAGGCCTGTGCTTTTGCCTCCCTCCATCTGCATTTGACTTTTCTCAAATGTTATATGAAGTTAGATTATCTGGAGATCTGGTTAAAATGCAGTTTAACTTTGATGGTTGTTAAATATAGATTTATGTGTTTGCATGCACAACAGGATGTGTGTGTGTGTGTGTGTGTGTGTCTAGGCACACATGAGTGCTAGGATCCTGCATGCCTAATAAGCTTCTGGAGGATGTTAACGGTGCTGGCCCATAGATCAGACAAACAAGTAGAAGGGACTGAGAAGACAAAATGCAAACTCACATTTTTATTTACGGTGTCAGGTGACCTTGGTCAGCTTCCAGCTTCTACCACCCGGAGCCTGCTATTCCTACCTTCCTCCCCCACCCCAGAAGCATGTAATGTGCACAGTTCGAACTACTGCTGCTTTTACCCCATTTTGGTGTGTGCATTCATGTATCTGTGCTGCTGTGTGAAAGGGTCTTTTCTCAAGGTGCCACTGTGATAAATGCATCCCTGACCTTGTTGAATTTAGTGTTAATTGTTCCTTCCTCTTTGCTTATATCAGACTCTTGTTTTTAGCACTGATCATTTTGTATTGTACTTATGTGTTTGAATTTCTGCTTCTCCCACCAGATGGTGGCTGCTTGAGGGCTAACATGGTGCTCTGTTCATTGACACACCCTGAGCACCCAGGGATTGCTTGCCACGTACGAGCACCACTAACTATTCACAGCATGAATAAAGAAAAGGCTGATTGGATAAATGAATAAGCAAAATATGTGAAGTCACATTTTTTAAGCTGTAAGAGTAATCTACAAACTATTTGGATTGAAGTTACGTGGGGCTGGGAATGCATGGCCAGGTCAAGTTCTGCATGCCAGAAGGCAGGTGACTCTGAGACACACACAGGAGAGACCATCAAGAAGGTCTGCTTGCTTCCTGGCTTTGAACTTGCACCAGGGACTTGGTGGGTTTGATCGGAGACCTGCGGAGTTGAGACTCTTGAAAGAGATGTGGGTACAAGACAGATGGGGAGGCTGACGAAGGCAGCTGTTACCTTGATTTGCCCCTTGATTTGCTCATTTGGTCCATCTTTTGAGACCTGCTTCAGAATCCCCCTTTCTATGTTTCCCCACCAGAAGTTACCTGAGACTTGTGGCAAGATTTCAGGTATCAGAGGCCCCACTTTGGCTGACCCTGTTTGACTGGACATTGACCCAAAGGGAATGGGTAACTTGGGTGCTTTATTAGGAAACTATTATCCTTCCTTCTCTTTACTCTATGCACCCTAATCTATTAAAGTTCTTTCATACTAAGCATGCTTTGTATTTGTGTGCACAGACCCCTTTACAGCATGCAGTCTGGGGGTCCTCTGGTGCCCCTCTCTGCCTGTTAACAAAAGGAGAAATTAAAAATGAAACAATGATAAGATTTAATGTTTTATTGACACATCCCAGTGGAATGTCTTGTGTGCCCTACAATGAGATAAATGCACCCCTCCTTGGTGACCCCAGGCTAGAACAATAAGTTGTTAAAATTACAAAGGGTAGAATGGCACACAAATGAATATGAATCAGAAGATATAAGTAAAGACAAAAGAAATAGGCCCAGGTAAATATCAGATTTCCAGGGTTTGGGCTTTTAGATTCCTCTGGAGAAAGAGTCAAAGAGTATTGGGCCTTCCTGGTGGTGCAGGAGGTTAAGACACAATCTATGAAGCTGTCCACAGCCACTGCAGCATGAGTTCACTCCCCAGCCAGGGAGCAAAACACATGGTGCAGCAGACCTCTCCTGCCTCGCCCACTGCTCCCCTCAGCAGTGTACTTCAGTCAATCTGCCTGTTCTGTTCCCCCACTCTGTCTCTGGTGAATCCTCTCACCCCCTCCCCACCTCTGTCTAGTACCTCAGCTCTTGTATGCATAAATAAATAAATTTTAAAAAATTGTACAGTATGATATAAAACCCAACACAGGAAATCTCTGAAGTGCAACAGCAAAGTGCCGTCTCCTCTGAAGACCAGTGACTAAATCCTGACACTAAAACTGGAGGCAAGCAAGGTCCCTGGGGCCCAGGAGGATAATTTGACACTCACACCCAGTGCACTCTGCCTGAAAATTAAAACACTTTATTTAGCATCAGATAATTTGAAACCTAAATTTAACGGTCTTTCATAGGTAAAAAGAGGTCCCGTTCTTTCATTTGTTACTGAAATTAAGCACTTAAGCCTTTAAGGCAACGTCCTTGTCCTTGTGGGATGAATGGAAAGCTAATCTAGGACAAGGCCCAGCTAGGGCAGAAGCAGGAAGATTTATTTGATTAGGCTGCTGAGGACCTGAGGCCAGACTGGGTGGGTAGACCCAGATCCCTTTCTGGCTCCCAGGGAAGGGGTTCACAGTGCAAGTCAGTAAGGTAGCACCTCCCCTAAGGGGACTTCCTTGCTCATACAAATTCCAAACTACAAAACTACATGTGCACCCCCAGAAACCCCCTAATACTGCTTTAGTTATTTCTTCCTCCTCCAGACCCATCAAGAACCCTGGAGGGGTGAGG